CCCCCCCCATTCTTCCTTGGTGGATGTCGGTATCCTGGCTAGCAGGGGGCTAAGTCAGCATGCTGACTTGGCATTTACTTCTGTTTGTTTGTTATGCCAGTTATCAATTTATTACCCCTGAACTCCAAATTCACCTTCATTGCCTGATCTGTGAAGGGGGATCTGGGTCCTTTAAATGCCAAGTTCATCCTTCCTTAGACCTTGCCTCTCAATCGTTTGGTGCCTTTTAGACTTCTCTTCTCCTGTCACTGTTTCATAATATTTTACATTAAACTTGTCCTCTTTGAATTACTATTTGGTTTCAGTTTCCTGATTGGACCCACAATGTCAAAAAAATCCATGAGATTAGCTTGAACCTGTAGTGACTCTGTGGCATATCCTGAAGTACTATTTTGAATTAAATTGCTAAACATTGTTTTTTTAAAATAATTTATGCCTTTAAAACCAAATACAATATTTATCACACAAACTGAATAGCTTTGAAGGTGAGAATACAATAAAATGCCAGATTTCTCAGTATCTTCTGTGTATTTTTTGCAAAGTACTTAATGTTATAAAATTATTCTGTGGAATGTTCATTTTCCGCCAAACATTTATTGTTTTTCTATATACCAAACACTAAACTTTAAAGATTTTACTACCCATATGGCTCTCCATATAGTGTTTTATTGCTTCATTTCATGTCTTGAGCAAACTGAGATGTAATACATGAAGTGACATCACCAAGATCATAGTGACCAGAGACAGAGATTAGGGTCAAGAATCCTTTTTTTCCCCTTCTTAATTAATTTTTAAATATTTCTTAACAAAAGATTTAAAGTAGCATTTGCATTAGTAACAGCTTACTAGGTAATTTCCAAGACAAGCTTTTTCTTGGTTTTTATTTGGTTATAACATGAAATAAAGGCATAAAATCACCCAATCATTGGCAGTGAGAGCCAAGAGGTGGCTTGTGAGGTGTATTTAAGTCCTCTTGTAATTTCCAGCTCTTTACCACCCCAAATAAACATAAGGTCTAAGTAAAAACAGGTGCTTGTTATGTAAACCAGCTTCAAGACAAGTTCTCTACTTCTGTGTTCCTGCTCAACCCCACCCCTCCTGGAATAGGTGCTTAGAATAGCATTTTCAGAGAGAAACAGTGTTTACTGAAACATGTAGTGAAAGGGCATTGGAATCCCAGGAAGATTCTCAGGAGTGACTTTCCAGTGAAACATCTCCAGGTAGCATTTAGCATTCAACTTGCTAAGTTATTTCATAGAAACAATTAGGAAGACACAAATATTGGGCTGTGAGAAGCAGTGTACAGAGAATAATTGTTCTAAAAGTTTAGGGAAGTCCCAGAAAAGATTGGAACAGCGCATATCTAAGAAAGTCAAAGAAAATGTGCACATTAGGCACATGGAAGATTGATGATGTGAGAGCCATGGTCTTTTTCATTAGTGAGATTCAAACCAATGAAGAGTTTTTTAAAAAACAAACAAAACACACTCAAAAAACCTAAAACAGTATTTGAAATTTACTTTCTCTGTTTCTTTTCCAATTTCTTAAACTCATGAAAGCAGTAATTCTAGAGGACTGTGACTCCCCCCTCCTCTAGTCTTTCCTCCATGCTGGCGTCTATTCTGCAGAGCCATGAAGGCCCAAGCTTGTAAATCTAGACTTGTTTCATTTTGCTTAGTTCTGTGTGTTTTCCTCGGTGTTTACAGTTGCCATGTACTTGGTGAGGGCTTCTCCTTCCTTGTTCTCCCTGAAGTTCTCTCTTTCTGTCTTTTCAGGGAAGAAGAGCCCAGACCTAGGGGAGTATGATCCCCTCACCCAGGCCGACAGTGATGAGAGTGAAGACGATCTCGTGCTTGACTTGCAGCAGAAGAACGGAGGGGTCAAAAATGGGAAGAGTGCTCTGGGAGAAGCCCCAGAGCCTGACTCAGACGCTGAAGTTGCAGAGGCTGCAAAGCCACATCTTTCGGAGGTCACCACAGAGGGGTACCCCTCGGAACCCCTTGGAGGCCTGGAGCAGAAGGCAACCTCTTCCATTGTGTCTTATGTGCGCACATCTGTGTTTCTGCTGACTTTGGTGATCTCAATGGTCCTGGTGCTCGTATGTGCTTTCCTGATCCCCTGTCCCCCCAGAGATCTGCACAGCACTTGGAGCCGCCACTTGGGTCCCCATGGAGGTGAGTTGCAGGATTTTTATCCCTAATTCTGTAAAGCTTCTGATTACAATGAAAATTTTCTCCAAGTCTTTAAAAATTAATGTGTGTCATATAATATTTCCCCCCCATGTGTAGAGATGCCTTTAGGAGGTTAAGATTTGAAATAAAACAAAAAGATGGATTGATACAGCTCAAAAAACTTGGGAAGATCACTGCTTTGTTGTATTTCTGTTGGTATTGGTTTAAAATTTTTTTTTAAATTTTTCAGTTACAGTTTATTTTCAATATTATTTTGTATTGGTTTTAGATGTACAGCATAGTGATTAGACAATCATATAATTCACAAAGTGTTTTCCCCAATATTTCTAGTACTGCCTGGCACCATACATAGTTGTTGAAATATTATTGGCTATATTCCCTATTCTGTACTTTACATCCCTGTGACTATTTTGTAACTACCAATTTGTACTTCTTAATACACTGAAATATTACTTGGCCCTAAAAAAGAATGAAATCTTACCATTTGTGACAGCATGGATGTACCTAGAGGGTATTATGCTCAGTGAAATAAGTCAGTCAGAGAAAGACAAATATCTTATGATTTTACTTATGTGTGGAATCTAAAGAAAAAAATAAATGAACAAACAAAATTGAAACGGACTCATAGACACAGAGAGAGGATTGGTGGTTCCCAGAGGGGAGGGGGACTGGGTGAAGAGGTATTGGCATTGGTTTTAATTAGATGTAGATAGGACAGAGCATTGTTTGCTGGGTTCCTGCTATGCAGCCAACACTGTATCAGGGGAGAGCAAAGAGCTGTAGGAAGGGCTATTTACAGAGAAAAGTAAGACTCAGGGCCTGGCCAGACCAGAAACCAGTGCTCTTGTAGGACCCTCAGGCATTCATTGATTATAGAAGCCTGACCTAATTTGAATTTTAAAATAATGTCAAGTAAAAGAGAGTTGCTTTCTTGCAGCAACTTTCCTTTCTTGCTCCTAGTGGTTATTTAAGATGGTGCCCAAGTCATTCTAGCTATTTTGTCTCATTTTGGAGCAGGTCTCTTTAAAATAGCTTGCCCTGGATCAATGGGGATTACATCTCAACTCTCAGTGCTGAGCATTCCTGTCTCTTGTAAACTGCATTAAGCTGAAGGGGTTCAGAATATACCACCCCAAATATGTCACTGTGGCATATTGATTATTTTGACTTAAAGGCACTTGAACAACAGCAGATGCAAGAAGGTCGCTATGACCCTTAATTCTTCCTGAAATCAGGAGGTGAAACTCTCATATGAGAGATGTCTTCCTATACCAGGAGGAAAGAAACATTCTTATCACCAGAGATAGGGAGGTGAGGCCAAGAGAAATGTGTACAAACAGACCTTGTTAAAATGCCTCTTACCTTCCTCTCGTCTCCACATATATTTCAGTTACTTTGCTGCAGTTGCCACTCTTGTTCAACCTGGGTTATAAGCACTTAGGCCAGGCCACCACCAGGTCTTCATTTTCCTTTGGGGACTTCTAGTACACGTACCATTTTATTAAATAAAATATAAGTGCTTTTCTCTTGTTAATCTGTCTGTCAGTCCCAGCTAGAAACCCTAAGAGGGTAGAGGAACAGTTTCCCCTCCTCTACAATATTCTCACATCCCTGTATCATCTTGATCTAGAAATATTTCATCTCTGACATTTCTGTGATCCTAGTTGAATTAGCTTCTGATGAGTTCTGTGCTCTTATCTTTCTCTTAAGGCAAAACTGGGTGGGTGTGACTGAAGCTATGTATCACTACATGGAATGTTGCTTCCTTTTTATTTTTTAATTTTTCTAAGTGAGCTCTTGTAATATTTATATACGCTGTAAAAACTAGTAACAAACTGTTCGTGCATCCAACACCCAGTTTAAGAAATAGGATATCATAATGACCTCTGAAATCCCCCATATGTCCCTCCTGACTGTGTCCCCCTTTGCCCACCAAAGGGTTCCACTCTCCTGAGTTGATAATTTTTTTACTTCTCTTTACAGTTTTACCACATACGTGTTCATAAACTGTATACTCTCTAATTTTACCTGTTTTTGAATTTTATGTAAATGTAATCATGTAGTCTTCTGTGAATGGTTTTTTTGTTTAACATATTAAAAAATATTTTTGCACTTCATCCATATTGGAGTGCTATAGCTAGAGTTTTTCATTTTCACCACTGTGTAATTTTCCATGGTATGAATATTTTATGACTTATTAATCCATTTTACTGTTAATGAACATTTATTTAGGTGGCTTTTATTAAAAAAAATAATGCTAAGAAGATTCTTGTACGTATTTCTTGATGTAATGTATAAGACTTTCTCTAGGGTATAAACTTAGCGAAATTGTTGGGTCATATGGTATGTGTCTGTTCTGTGTCAGTAGTTTGTGTTAAATTATTTTCTGTGGTGGTTGTACCACTTTACACTTCCATTAGCCATGTGTTAATTCTCTCCAAATTTGGCAGGCATTCTCTCTGTTGGGGGGTGAGGGGTTTTGTGACAATACCTACCTTGTCACTGCCAGGTGGAGATGGAAGGCCAGGCATCCACTAGGCCTCTGCTGACACCACCCTGGTGGGGGTGGGAAAGGAGGGCTGCCTCATTAGTGCTGGGTGGGCTAGAACTAGAGGCTTCCCAGGTGCTTGGAGGGCCTTGGTGTGCTAGGGGGTGAAAGCCCTGGCTCCCCACCTCGCCTTCTCTGACATGACCCTGGTGGAGGAGGAAGGGTGCCTTGTTACTGCCAGGCAAGGGTGGAAGTCTAGACTCCCAGCTTGGCCTTTGCTCTGGGGGTGGGGCCACAGTTTTATCTGTGTTGTTTGGCTGGACTGAAGTAGTTTTATCTAAAACTTTTCTGTCTTGCTAGGCTAGGGGGGCCAGTACTTCTTGGGGCCCTTTTTTTTTTTTTTTTAAAATATATCTTTATTGATTTCAGAGAGAGGAAGGGAGAGGGAGAGAGAAGAGAGAAACATCAATGATGAGAGAGTTGTCATTGGTCGGCTATCTCCTGCATGCCCCTGACTGGGGATCGAGCCCACAACCCAGGCATGTGCCCTGACTGGGAATGGAACAGCGATCTCCTGGATCCTAGGCCGATGTTCAACCACTGAGCCACGCCTGGCTGGGTGGGGCCTTTTTTGTCTGTACCTGTGGCATATCTGGGTTGTCTGCTTCTGCAGCACCCAGTCTGGGACACATGAGGCCAAAAGAAAACCCAGAGGAGTCATCACTTTGTCATTTCTTGGGTCTCACAGTCCCTAGCTGGTTTGCCTTCTCACCACCTCCCCGAGTCATCTTATATTTGTTTTATGTATAATGTCCAGGGATTTTAGCTGTATTTAGTGAGAGGAATAGGCAGAATTGTGTTTATTCTCTCTTACCTTTGAACTGAATGTCTGCCTGGTTTTTATGGAAGTGCTGGCACTATGTATTCATTCCTTTCCTAACTGATTTGTGGTAACTTGCTAAAGATGTTTTTAATGTGTTTTATCAGGTGGGGACCTGTCTCCATTGGAGTTGGCCGATGTGAATGGAGATGGCCTGCGTGATGTGCTTCTCTCCTTTGCAACTTCAAAGAATGGCAGTGCAGTCGGTAAGAGATGTGTCTTTTAGAGGCTGCTCCTGGAGAAGCTTGTTGATTGGAGGAGGGGCTGTGAGTGAAGAGAAAGCGTCTCCCGAGAGCCTTGTAGAAAAGGGTCTGCCGTGAATAGGAAGTCACCATGGAGCTGTCACACAAGATAAACCCTAGCAGAGAGTTCCTGCGTGTAAATACAGCTCAATTCAAGAAACCATAGAGCTCTGTAGCTGGAAGGAACTTCTAGCGGTCACCAGCCAGTGAAGAAGCTGAGATGCAGAGAGGAGGTGACTTGCCTACACACCTGCAGTGCTCAGCATTGGTACTTAGGTTTCTTGACTTTTCTCCCAGTCAGCTTTCATAGCCTCTGAGATTATAGTAAACATTGCCTCTCCTACCTTCCCATCCCCAACTGAAAGCCTTTGTTCATGTACTAATATGTGTCTCATGCTTCCATCTTGGCTGGGTGTTTTCCTTTTACTCCTTCTGTTTACTCCTTTGTCTCTGCTCTCCATTCTGTCCTCTGCTTTGGGAGGCTGACCTGTATGGATTATGCCAAGGGTCTTCCTTGCCTGCGGACTTCCAATTGGGTTTGTCCAATGGGGAGCATTGACAAGGAATTGGAGGAGAGAGAGAGGGTATGTATTCCTCCGGCTCCCTCCCTGCCCGGTTGCCGTAGTCTGGCTACATCCTTGATCACAGGTCGCAGCTCCTGTCAAGGTGGGCCTTTTTTTACAGGACTTTCTTTTTTTGGATTCCAGTAATCATTTTCTCCACTGTCCCTCTGGGCCTGGGAGTGGCAACAGCTCTGAGGGACTGTACTGTTCCTGGTGGTTTCTCTATATCCTGACCACACCTCTCTCTTTATTAAACCTTTCCCAACCTACCCTAATTGAGTGTGCTATTTCCTGGGACCCCAGCTGTTACACATGTCAACTGCACACAAAAAAAAGTGTTGCAGTTTTGGAATAGGTACATGGGAGCTTTGGTTTGTCCTGCAGCCTCCATTAAAGTAGATTGGAACTATAGTCTGTGAACTGACACAGGAACTCAAGTCTGAGGCTGAGGATGTCCTAGTACCTACTTTTTAATCATTCAGGCCCTGGACTAAACACCTAGCTCTATTTTAGAGACTTCTAGGCTGCGTGCCTCTCTGATGCTATAAGAAATACCTTTCTGGGGCTTGTGCACTCTGTGGAAGCCTCTTGAGCATAAATCTGTTACAGAGAGAACCTGCAGGCAAGAAGCTGACTTTTATGTGATTGAACCTGAGTTATATTTTTTTCCTGCCTATGACTCATTAGCTAGCCTTTGAAGTAAAAATTTCCCCCATCCACTTTTAGATTTAGAGACTTTTTTTGGTCATTTGGTATTTTGCATGGTTTGCTACATATCAGGACTCATAATGACAAGGTTGTGGGTTTGGTTGAACACAACACGAACCAGCCTGATTTGGCCACAGATTATAAAAATAATAACATAGCTGACGTGGTATTTTCTATGTGCTATTTACCATTGTAAGTCTATAACATATATTATGGACAAATTTATCCCTCAACTCAGTCTCTTTAGGTATACTAAATATTATTGTCCCCCATTTGCAGATGGGGAAACTGAGACATAATGAGGCTAAGGAACTTGCCCAGTTTCCCCCACCTGGTGAATGATAGAGCTGGAACCGAAATCCTGGGAGGCTGGCTGTAGAGTTCATGTTTTCGACGCTTATGTCAAACTGCTGCCCGTAACCCCAGCAGTGGGTCCAGAGATCTGTGCCCCTGAGCATAGAAGGATTGTATTTTTTTATTTGCTTGCTCTGTTGTCCATTCATTCATTCATTCATTCATTCAGTAACTATGTATTGAATACCTACTGTGTACCTTATGTAGAGCTGTGCTGGTTATATTGAGCTAAACAAATTGAGTGTGGTCATTGCCTCACAGACTAGTGGAGAAGGGATAACCCATCACCATCCAGAAAATGATGAGTTGGAAAAGTGATGTGGAGTCTGTAGGGCCCTTAAGGAGGAAGGACAGCACAGTATGTTAGAGAATCCCTGAGAAGTCTGAACACTAACATTTATCACCCACAACTTGTCATGTGTGTCACTGCTTCTGGCAACCAAGGCTGAAACAGTGAGCTACAGTCTGTCCCTTGTTTTTAGGTTGTGTGTTTAATTAGCAGCACAGAGGAATAGGTGCCAGGAAGTTGTATTAGTTGTTGCTGGAGGTAGGAAGTATGTGGGGTTGGTCAGTATCCCATACAGAAAGTGAATGTAAAATTGGCACTAGAGAAAGTTATTATTCTGCTATGTTGATTGACATAAAGGATTATTTTTTAAAAAGCTGAGCCCTCCAATCCTTTGCCAGCTATCCTTGGGCTTAGGTCTTAAGTTTTCCCAAGTAGTAATCTTTCCTGACTGGGCCCAAATCAGCTGAACTCTAGACCAGGAAGACCTACTGATTGTTGTTAAGTATAAGCTTCAGGTTTATTTAAAAAAAAAATAAAAATACTTTTTTCTGCCTCAGGGAGCATTTGCTAATGATGATTAGAATTCAGATATTTTGCTCTTTGCTCTGCAGATAGTCTAGGTTAGCCTCATTTTTCTGAGCATACCTTCTCCTCCTGTTTTTTGTTGTTGTTCTCAGTAACTACTACTTTATATTCTTCATTGTTTTGCTCCTGCCTTTATTCAGAAAACAATTGGTTGCTACGTACTGGGTGCTTTGTAAGGCACTGAGGGTACAGAAATTAATGCAATGGTCTTTATCCTTCAGGATGTCAGTATTTTGTGGGGCTCAGGTGACAGACACAGAAACACATGTGTTAGGATAGGTGCAGGCATGGAGTTACTCAAGGAAGCCTGGAGGAGGTCCATGGCTCTTATCTTGGATGGGAGATGTGTTGCACAGACATGACAGGCCCTCTTTTTTTCAGACCTTGTTGCCAGAAATATGGGAGGGACCTGAGTACACAGGTGTGGGGCTGCCTTACCACCATTTATTTTTGGTTTTCTGGCTTCCTGCTCATCTCTACCTCATTTCCTCTGCCTCCTTTCCTTTTTCTCTCTTTTGTGTGTTTTTAGGTGTCTCAAGGCCACCTGCTGTTCTCGTGTGCCTTTCGGGGATGAATGGCAGCACACTCTGGTCTAGTCCTCTCCCTGAGGAGGCTCGAGATATCACATGTTTGGATCTGATGCCAGGAAGCGTGGCCGAGACCATCTGCCTTGTGACAGGGACACACAAGATGCTCAGCGCATTCAATGCGACATCAGGTGAAGTTCATTTTCACTGCAAAAGATCTCTGCTCCAGTGAGCGATAATCTTGGATTAGAACAGTCTGGTGGGGAAGAGACCTTTCCACTCTTGTATGGTGGAAAATCTGACTGACTGCTTTGGAAGGTGGTTATTTAGGGAGATAACACAAAAGGTTGGAATAGATTGAGTGCTAGATCCACGGTTTAACCTGAGCAGAAATACCTTCAGCCTTTGATTTCTAAATAGTCTCCATACTCTGTTCTTGGTACAAAAGACAGTTGAGCACTGCCTGTTAATATTTAATATCTATGGGGTCCATGTGTAAACTTGGGCATCAACTATGTAAAAACATGTCAGTGAAGAAAGGTTCTTTGAGGCCTGTTGCTTTTGCCTTTTGTCTTATTGCGTTCAGACAGATAACAAAAGGAATGAAAAGGAATCACATATAATGAAGGCTCTTTACTGAGTCATAAGTATACTGCTGGTATGCTTGTTAACACGTTGGACTCAAGCAAAGCTGATCGAATATCATCCTTCCCAGTTTTAGAGGTTGGAGTTTGGTCGTGGGTACTTCTGAGTAGAAAAAAATTGCATGTGAGTTAGCTCTGTAGCTGAGGTCATCTTGAAAATCTCCTACAATTTCTCTACTCAGGTGAACACAAGGTAGGAGAGAGCATTAGTCTTCTGATTGGCTGCCCTGGGTGGTTCCTTAATAGTTGTAATAATCTCTAATAGGTCAATTCGTCTGTCCCAGACAAGCGGGCTCCTCTCTCCTGAGGAGCCGTTAGTACCTCCATTTTGTCTAAAAAATCTAGGTGTGAAGTTATTGCCCGGGTTTGTTAGCTAGATACCTGAGGATTTCAGCTCATACTCCCTGCTCCCTTCCTCCCCAGTAAGGTACAAACTAAAGGAAAAAGGAAGTAGGAGCTGCTGTCTGTGATTCTACCCCTGAGTTTCTCTCCTCTGGCCTGGGGGAATTGTGGCTGCCTTTTCCGGAGTCAGAAAGCCATCATTGTGAGCAGACTATTTGTCCTTCTCTAGGGAAAGCCATTTGGACTTTAAACCCAAACTACCTATCCAATGGTACCCTGGCTGCCCCAGGGGCTGTGCTTCCCGACGTAGATGAAGATGGAGTTAGAGATCTTGTGGTTGCCATTGGGGAATCGCAGGTATGCTCTATGTTAAATGGTCCTTATTTCTTATAGGGAATACTTCAGCTTTAGTTAGTTCCTACTATTGTTATTATAAATGCTGCTTGAAACCCCTTATTACAAGGGTTTAGGTTTAAATAAATTTGCTCTGTGAGATTAAATGGATAAATTATCGTTATGAACCCATTTCCCTGGCAGTCTAATTATGGTTCCACTGACTATGGCAGATGGAGCTTTGCAGCCAGATATACCTGTGTTTGAATTCTGAATAATTATCACTTTGTAGCTTTGTGGCCTTGGGTAAGCCACGTAACCTAGCCAAGCCCTTATTTCTCTGTATGTAAAGGTAGGATTGTTATCAAAGTCAGAGCTAACATATTTAAAGTGCCTAGAGTAGTGTCTGTGTTTTACCATGTGTGTATATTGTTAATTTTATTGTACTTAACTTTTATTTCAATTATAAAACAGAAAGAGACTGATGGAAAGTTCATAAAACATACAGAAAAATCATATTCTAAGATTGAGTTTTTGTTTATAATCAGTTAAAACACCCATGTTTTTAATCAATTCATTAATGACCTTATTTCTTCTTCCAGATTTGATCCATATTTCAGCCTAAGACTATTTGGATTTGAGTTCCTCATATAGCACATAGGCTGTTCCTCTCAGTTTTGTGATAAGCTTGAATTCTGTTCATTCAGGTCTTTGATAGGAATGATGACCAGGATTGGGACAAAAGCAGGGTGCTGGGACATTCCACTAAAACCCCCCTCTGCATTGTCACTGACTCCTCTGAAATCATTTGTCTTTATCTTGTCCATAAGAACTTAGGATGATAAACTTTGTCAAAAGCTTTATTGAAGTCATGATATCAATACAGTCCTCATATTTCCCAACCAGCAACTCTCTTCCCCAAAGAAAATCCTCTAGAGCAGGGGTTGGCAAACTATGGCTTGTAGGTCAGATTTGGCCCACTGCTTGTTTTTATAAATGAAGTTTTATTGGAACACAGTCACCTATTCATTTATGTATTACCTGTGGCCACTTTCACACTATAGTGGTAGAGAGTTACTATAGAAACCACTTGACTCACAAAACCTAAAGTATTTACCATCTGGCCTTTCACATAAAAAGCCCATCTTTGCTTGAGAGTAAGGTTGAGAGTGGCCAGGCCAGACATGTGATGTTATGATGGGAGATCAGTTTCTGCACTGATTCTTGTTGGGACCAAATATTACTGGGAATTTCTGGGTATGAGAGTAGAGACCAGGGGTTAGCTGTCCTATATTTAGCTCTGGGCTAGAATTCTGCTGGTAAGAGACTGTTCATAGCAACAACTATGCTTCAGAGAAATTGCCTGAGCTGCCGTAAAGGTGCCCTTTGCGGGTATCTAACAAGGGAATGGGACGTTTGCCTCTTTTCTTGCTCCTAGGGAAATAAAGTAAATCAAGTTTGGCCGGGTTCTTTCCAACTTTGGAAAGTGTTTCTGAACCCTTAGCTAACAGTGAAGTAATGACTGTGGAAACTTTTTGATTAGGAAATAATAGGGCTGCTTTTGACTCGACTCCCTTCTTTCAATTCTTCAGCCAGATCTGAGCTTTCTGCTGGTGTCTGGCCGGACAGGGAGTCCAGTGGGTCGACCTGTGAAGTACAACATCGTGGGAGTGGGGAACCTGATTGGTCCTCAGGTTTACATCACCGCTAATGGGGCTGTCTACATCCTGTTTGGTTTTGGTAAGAAGCAAGGCTGGTTTTTGCCGTGCCCATTGATGTATGAGATTAGGTGATGAATGTGATTAGATGTACGTGAGACAGGGTAAGAGCTCAGGAATTGCTGACACCAGCCCTTTCAACACCTCCTATTGTAGGGACTGCTCACTGCCCCCACCTGTTGCAGGGCATTAACTCTACTTTCCCTTTGCTGCCTTCTCCAAAGAGAAGACTCTTTGTCCAGCATCTGCATGCTCACTTCCCGGTTCACTCCACGTAGGACCAGTCTGGGCGGGCTATATTAGACCCATATCATCAGGCTCTTTGTCTCTCTCAGACCCTCATCCTGGGAAAGTTCTATTAAATTCAGTTTCTCAGTGTTGGCTCTTCTTGTTCCTGTGGTGCTAGGAAATATCCAAGCCGTCGCCCTGCGGGACATTTTTGTTCAGGCTCAAAATCGAGACAGCTCACCACCTTCCCTGCAGATAGAAGAGTCAGAATGGGAGAAGCGAAGATCTGTCAACCTGTCAGAACTCATTGATATTTACAGGTAGGACCTTGTCATCAGGTTTCCTAAGCTCTTGTGTGCCATGGAGTCTCTAAGTTTGATTGGGCTGGTGAATATGTGTGCAGAGGTTTGTGGGGAAAGAGTGATAGCCTTAAGCTATCTTCTGATCCGGTTAACGTGAGTGAGAAATTTTCTTTTCCTGATAACACAAAGTGTTGATATCTGTGTGTTAGTCAGCATGATGTGTGACCCCTTTGCACATAGGTTGCAAGGAAGGATGTTTGTTTAGGTTCTGAGTCAGAGAGGGGCAGGGTGAGGCTGGGGAACCTTTAGGTAGGGAGATAGATTTATTTAAAATAACTTTGTAAAACTGCTGAAGTATCTGCTCTACTCTTCTTGTATTTTTGTCCTAGTAGAAGAATCATTTTGGCAGAAGCAAGAATAGTATCCATGAAGTCTTATTTTTAATTTTTCTTTCTTAGCTAAAAGCATGTGATTTGTTTGTCATTTTCAGTGGATGTTACCCACTTAACCCCAGGCCTGTGTAATAATTGTCTTCATTCTTTAATACCAGAAGTTTTCACTCATTTCCTAAGGCAGCATCATGTTGTTCCAGTGTACTTCACAAATGTTAAATAAAATGGTCCCCGTTGTGCAGAGAAAGAAATAAATTGATGAAGTGTATGCCAGGATTTGCTGTCCAAGTTTAATGGCAATTTCAAGACTCCTGTCCAGATCCCCATCTCCCTTCCCTGCCATTCTTTTTGGCTCTGTTTTCTTTCCCATAGTATCCAATGTGAGGGGTATGTGGCACTTCTGTGAGTTCCTTACAAACTTGCGTGAATTTTCTAGGGATCCTTGGTTTCTAAAGGTCAGGCAGACGAGATTCAACTGAGCAACAGACTTCCCCTAATGGCGGGACATGAACGCAAGAGTATATGCAAACACGCACACCTAGAGAAAAGGTCTAAATAAGTGGGTCAGGAATCGCGTGTAATCCAGAGACTGACTGTTGGGGTCTTGGTGATTCAGCAACGGTGTTGAGCTGCTCCAGATGGTGAAGGCACCAGACTCCAACTGCAGCAACCTCCTCATCACAACCAGACAGGCCCTTGTCCTGCTTCGGGGGCAGAATCTTACGCCGCACTGGACGCTGAGACTTCAGGACCTGCACAGGTTTGCAGTGTGCTCCTTCTCACCTGTGCTGTTCTGATCCACTTTCCTATGTTTAAAACCTGCCCGGAATAGTTGTTGGATAACTGGGGCTGATGCGGGAGAAGCGAGGGAAAGGGGACCTTATTTTCCTCTTTTGCTTGTTCACTGTCAATCTCTTACCTTGTTCTCGTTTGTAGCCAGCCTACTCCTGGGTATTTCACTGACGATCAGACATTAGACTTCCTTCTGCAGATACAGGATGGAGTTGGGATGAAAAAGGTAAAACCTTGGGACTCAAGTCAATCAAAACATATATAAAGTATGTATTTTGTATGCAACTCTGCCCTAGGCACTGGGAGAAATAAAGAGAACCTAAAATATGTTCCTTCCTTCAAAGAACTCAAAGTGTAGCTGAATGGATAAGGTGAAAACTCACAACTCAGCGCTCACGCCTGCAGCTTTTCTAATAGGCCTTCCTGCACAGGAGCACCTTCTGGATTCCTAACTGCAGTTAGGCACTAGTGGCTTCTGACATCTCTCGGTGGGGAAAGGCAGGCAGAAATAAGTCTAATAGTTCAGTACATATACAATGTGCACCAAAAATTTCAGAGCAGGCAGGGTATCCATGGCGACCGGGTTGTTGTGGAGGACTTTATAAGAGAGGGAAGGGTGAGCCAGGTCTTGAAAGCTGAACTGCATTTCTGTGAGAGGGTACAGATGGGGAAGCACGTAGGGCGGGAACACCAAGACTAGAGGCCCAGAGACAGACTGGCATGGCATGTCCCAAGGACACTGAGTGATTCTTTCCGATTTTATGTGAGACTGCATATTATGAGGGTATAATAATGGAATAGACAGTTTTTATTTCTTTAAATTACAAGCAGAATTAGTGTTTTTAGCTTCTTTTTGGTAAGTTGACCTAGCTTTTTAGTTTAGCCTCACTTTAAAATATGTCTCTATATATTGCACACTATTGCTTGAGAGTGAATTCAGCACATGCCTAATCATCACCTCTAATGTCTGCCAAATTCTGTGCTGGATGAAGGCAAGGCCACTGTCTGTAAGTCATAGTCACTGGGGTGCCTGTTTGCACACAGCTCTATCGCGTTGTGGTAAGTGCTGTGGTGGGGGCTCACACTGCCACGGGTGTGTGGAGAGAAGGTCAAGTGAAGGGAGTCAAGAGACAGTTTGTGTTGGCCGGGAGTTGGATGTGCAGAATCATGGGAGCAGAGAAGAGGTTTGCCCGATGGACAGACAAGGATGGGCTGAGGGGTGTTCCCTGCCAGAAGAGGCCAGAATGAGGTCGGCTCATGGAGGGCCATGAAAGCAAGACTGCAGGATTTGGATGATGTGTGGACGCAGTAGGGTTATTTGGTCACAAGCAGAGGACAGATCTGATGATCAGGTGTCACTCCAGGGAGAGTCTTGCAGCAGTGATGTGCAGGAAAGAAGCAATGTCTCAGTGTCTTTCAAAGGAACTTCATGTAGAGATTGGAATTTTCATTGGTGTTCCTGGCAGGATTGAGGGAGAGGGGCGTATATAGTAGACTGGTTAAGGGCTGAGATGCTGAGGGTTAAGACTTGGGTTTTAATCCTGGCTCAACTACTTATTGGTGACCTTGGGCAAATGACATAATTTTGCCAGGCTGTAGCTTCTGCATCTATAAAATGGGTAACAACACTACCTACTCCCTTCATAGGGTTATTGTGACAGTTAAATGAAATAATGTGTGACTGGATAAAATCGTTTAGTGCAGCGTCTCTAGTCTTCTTTTCTTCCCAAGACTACTAGAGGGAATCTTGAACTGCTGGCCTGTTTTCCTCTCTGCTTGCTCAGAGGCGTTTGTCTCTCCAGGTGGTTCTAAGACCTTTGTGAGGCTGAGTTGGAGATGGGCAGAGAAGGGGAGGACCAGAGAGACTGGAAGAATAGTGGCATGATTGTCAAAAGAGGCATAGGCTTTCCACATACTGCAGAACAGAGACACTGAGGAGAAAGGGCAAAAGACACTGGGCTGGAGGCAGACGGGGCTGGAGGTAGACGGGGCAGTTCCTTGGGGACTTTTACAGATGACACGCTCTAGAACAGTGGGATGTGTGGTGTTTGTGGGGAAAAGAGATACAAATGTTGCCAGGGACTATGAATTCAGTTTCTTTAATTATCCTTTGAGAGATGCAACTAAGGAGTGAATTTTCTCTTAATTTATTTTTTGCCTGTTTAGACTGTGCTCTTTAAAAATTTTTTTTTTAATCCTTGCCTGAGGATATTTTTTCCATTGCATTTTCAGAGAGAGTGGAAAGGGGGGGAACATCTGTGTGAGAGAGACACATCGAGTGGTTGCCTCCTGCTTGTGCCCCGACTGGGACCAAGCCTGCAACCGAGGTATATGCCCTTGGCCGGAATCCAACCCGGGACCCTTTGGTCTGTGTGTTGATGCTTTAACCACTGAGCCAAACCAGCTAGGGCTACGCTAGGGCTGAGCTACATATGCCAGGACACCAATAGAGTCAAACACAGAGAGCTCTCAGCACAGCACATAGGATGTAGCGTTCACTTAGTGGTTCCCAGTGTGTTGCTGTGTGTGGAGGGAAGGAGCAGGAAGGAGGCACTGTTGCTGGCGTCTGGTTTCAGCACCACCACAGCATGGCTGCTCTGTCTGAGGACTGTCAGAAACAGGGAAATTTCTAAGTCACTTCCTGGCTCCAAGCCTTCATTTTCTCATCTGTAAAATGAGAGGTGAACTAGAGAGTTATAATGCCCCCTTCCCACCAGAGAATTCCGTGGGCCTGCAAACTGTATGGCGTGGGAATAGAACCACAGAAGACGGTTCTGGATCCAGGTTGTTATTTAATGCTCTCTGAACACCCAGTTTGTTCATATCTAGTAACCTCACCCTGTTCATATTTTTATTTGAGTGTGTGTGCATGTGTGTTTTCTTGGGCCCGCTGCCCTTCTGAGGATGGGCTCTGCTCACTGTCTTCTCTTTTACAGGTGATGGTGGTGGATGGGCTCTCCGGCTCTGTTATTTGGAGTTACAGTGTTCCATGTCACATGAAAAGAACACCGACCACCTCAGCAGTTACTTCAGACCGGAAGTCTGTCTTCCTCTTTTGGGCTGAAGGACTGCCAGCTGCACCTCCTGATTCCGTGAGTGAGCCTGGGAGGATCCCTTTGCCACTTTGTCAGATGGCATCTGCTCTGTGGGGCCGACTGGGTCTGGAGGTGTTATTAGATCAGCCACACTTCCAATTGGTTATGGGTAGAACAAAGCAGCCTACGAGTGGGCAGAACAGGAACCTGCTTCCTCCTGAGCTCTGCTTCCCCCCTTTGCCTTTCAGCCAAGCAGCGCGAAAGCTGACCACAGCTCCTTGGCCACTGGCTACAGCAGAGGGACCCTGCTAGGCTGAAGTTGAGAGTTCACTTGGGGAGATTATGGGAGAGAAGGTCCGATACACAGAAGGCAGATTTTAGAAAGTCTTAAATGCTATACTGAGGTATTTTGATGGGGTTGATGAGACAAGCAGTGTAAGAGGTACCTGTGAGTTTTTAGGGAGACCCACCTTGATTTCGTTCAACACATTTTGGCCAGTACCTACTATGTATCAGGTACCGTGTTCTCTGTAGGGATCTAAGGATAAACTGGAAACTGTTGGCCCTTTAGAGAAGACAGAAGGCCCCTGATGATGGGGGTGAGGATGTGAGATGGGGGTTGGGGGGTAAAGGAGAGGGGGAAGCCTGAAGGAGGAAGAGTCCTGAGTTTATCTACTGTGTGCTTTCAGACAAGTCACTTAACTTTTCTGAGCTTCATGATCTTTATCTGCAAATGAAGATGCTAATGTATTCCCTCATATTGAGGATCAGATTGACTTAACATCCAGAGTATAGTCTTAATAACTCTGCTGTTCCCTAACCTGTGACCGTGGGCAGTTTACCTAACACTTTAACTTCTGGTTTTCTCATTTAATAAAATGTGGGGATTAGAACAGATGATTCTCAAATGTAAGCATCTAAAAGTAACGAAGGCATGTTACAAATGTAATAGAAAGTACAAATAAGAGTTTTAGGTGGAAGCACAAATGGAAGGAGATACTCATTTTGTCTGGGGAGATTAGGCGGCTTTTCATGAAAGAGGTGGCATTCAAGTTGGGGACTTAAGGACAAGGCGTGTTCTAACGTGAGGAAATGAGCTGGCAGGATAGTTGGTCTAAGGGGACTAAGATGGGCAGAGGTTAGATACAGCAAAGTGGAGCATGTGCTTAGGCAGTCATCAGACATTCTTGAAGCATGGGGCAGGTAAGTAATTGTAGGAGAAGGCTGGAAAGGGCAGATTTGAGTTAAATGGTGTAAGACCTTGGTTTTCATGCCAAGGAATTTGGGCTTATGCTGTAGGCAGTAAGGAAGGAGTTTTGCTATTCTCTTGTGTTCGCTAAGCCGTAGATCTGTCTTGTCATGCCTGGGACCCAAGGGTATGTGGAAAAGCCCTCTTTTGCTTTGTGAGCCTGTGGTGGGAGAGTGGTGGCTGAAAGCCTCCCGCCCATGCTTCTCCTCACTTAGTGGACTTCCTCCAGTGCTGACAATATAGAAACAGGGGAAATAATCATTTTTCAGTGTTTCATTTCCTCATCAAGAGGAGGCCCAAGATGGTCCCAGGGAAGGGGAGGTGCTCTTAGGGAGCTCAGTAGAGCAGCTGTTTACTGACCCTTGCATGATATTTCTGCGCTTTAACAGCTACATGGCTGCACCCTGTGCTCCTGCTGAATATCGTCCTTGCACAGAAATTACACTGCTAAAGGAAGTTCCAGTGTGCATTTCTTTTGCTACAGGGAGTTTGGAGACTAACACTCACACCTTTTATAATTAATAACTTGCAGTGTCTGGTCTACCTTCTGCTTATTTCTGTAAATGATACAATTTTTGTGATTTTTAGCCTGACACTTGCATTTGGCTTTAATATCCAATAGAGGAAATGTCTCCAGCACACTATGTTTTCATACATAGATACTGTCTGCACACATCCCCACCGGCTGCGGGGATGAACCGGCACCCTAATGCTCCCACAAGTGGGAGACTGCGAGGCCTCTACAGCAGATTTCTTTCTAGGGCCATGTACATTTCTTCTTCTTTTTTTTTTTTTTTTCTTAAAAGTGAGAAAACATTTCCTAACTATAGTGGTTTGAAGAAGTTAGTGATTAGTCAGTATTTTGAGCTCTGAAATATGTCTCTTGTATATGGGAGTTTTCTCTTGTAGCTGGGATCAGATCCTAGCATCTGGGAGAAATAGGCAACCACCACTTCTCTGCCCTTTGCATCTGAGGACCATCACATGTAGGATGCAGAATTACTTTCCCTTTTCCTTTTTGCTTCTCATTGTCAGGATGTCACCCTAGGAATGGAGCCACCCAGCCTTCACCACCTTTACCTCCTGCACCCTGCGTTCCCCTCCATTCTCCTGGACCTGGCCAATGCCACGGGCACAGTCACGGCATCAGAGGGTCAGTCCCAGCGACGGTGGGAGTCTGTGTACACAGATGGGAGAGATGTACTGGCTGTGTGTGAGAAGACCATTGTCCCCAAGGGAAGGGTGTATGCTTTCAGATGACAGCAGGGGGTGTGCTGAGCCACTGGTTTTCCCTGGTGTCCCTGGTGCCCTGGGGTCATTGCTGGAGTGTTCCCTTGGGAAGAGCACCAGGCTTACAAAGCGAGGATGCATCCCCTCTGAATCTGCTGCAAGCTGAGGGGCACGTGCAGTCCCATCCCCAGAGGTAAAAGCTTATGTGACCATGTATGGACAGTCTAGGAATTCTCAGAATTTCCGGTTTGTTGTGCTCACTTTTCTACCAAATTGTCACCATAGTTGGCATAGCCTCTAGTTTCCTGATTTCCCCAAATCCTTAGGAGCAGCTTCAGAGAAAAAATGGTACAAAGACCCAGAACAGTGGGTGTTTGCTGGCATTCAGTCCTTCAGCACTACACACCCACTGTTTAGCTCAGTGCCTCGCATCTATTAGGTGCTCAACAAACTTCTTGTTGAATTAATGAATTAATGAAGGAGTAAATGAACGAATGAATCTAGTTGCTGAACCAAACCGCTCTACTGTTAACGGAGTCTCCTGTCCTTGTTAACTGCTCGTTTTTGTCCTTCCTCAGTTGGAATTAACGACCTCTGGAAAGATGCCTTTTATGTCACCAGGACAACGGGGCCAAGCTCCAAAGGCCATCCAGCACCGCTGGTGGTCAGCAAGCTTAGTCTGCGGTGGGCACTGATGGAGGGCCAAATGGTCCAGCTAAAGGAGACCAGCCCCAAAATCGGCCGTGGGGAGCTGCGACGATTCCTCTCTCGGATAAAGTTTGTTGATTCTCCCTTGTAGGTGAATAGCTTCTGACACAATGTTTGTTGCTATTGTGGGTTTAGGACAAATTCTACCAAATCCAACATTGCTCTTTAGAAAAGAGTGGGAATGGGAGCCTTCTTGAGTAGCTGGGTATCAAGAACCACTTGTTTCTGCCCAGCGTTATTTTCTAAGGATGCTTCATCACTATTGAGAAATGGTTCTGTTGTTTTCAGCTGGAAATGGTACCATTGCCCTTAGGGGACATTGGTGGGGTCATGGTTTTTATTGTCCCAGTGACTGAGGTGGGTGGATACTACTGGCATTTTCTGGGTAGGGGCTAGTGATGTTAACATGCGGGGCCTGTGGCAGTTAAATAGTACAAAGAATTATCTTGCCCAGAATGCTAAAGCTCTCCCCTCCCCCCAAATACGGTGGTCTAGTTCAATATTCAAGAGCTTATCATGGAAAAAGATAAAGTCTCTGGGCCTTTCTGGAGGGACACTTATGAGCTGTTGGGGCTACACAAAAGGACAGGAAAATAGAGGAATATTCTGACCTTTAGGTTTTCTCCATTTCTCAACCATAAAGAAAATTCCAGTCACTGATCCCTGCACCTTTTCCCCTAGATCTAGTCTGACGGAACCTTTAGTTTAAGAAGAATTGAGCAGAACGGATGCTGTCTGTCTTCTGTCAGTATAACATCAGTTCCTTAGAGAGAAGGAAGACTTCTTCAGCCTCATCTCACCGCCTCTGCATGGCCATTGCAGAGCACTTTGGAAGGCACGTTGGAGTTGTTAACGGCACAAACCATGTGGGTGGGGTATTTTACCAACTTTTTCAACCTGTGCATTAACCCCCTCCTCTAGGCACTGTGTGGATAATTTGGAAATGTGAATCTAATAAGTGTTTTATTTTTTGTATGTCTAATTTATAAACTCTTGCTGGGAGATCCCAGTGAAGTTCTTGACTAGAACATTTTGTTTTGTATCATGCCAGGTGTGTGTATTCTTCAGCGTTATGAAATAGTTTCTAGAGATGTCCTAAGCTGCAGGGACCCAGTTGCTTGTCCTTCGGAAATATGTCTGGTTGGTTTGGTCATCCTGAGGCTTCCAGATGGCCTGCCTCTGATTTCTAGGTCCACCCACCATCTCTCGCACTCTCCCCCCACCTGTTCCTTGTCTTCTTCCCAGCCTTAGCAGCAGTGAGAGAGACCAACAGCGGGAGCCAGGGCTAGCCATCCCAGTGTCCACCTCTTCCTGGCTTATGTATCTTGCCTCCTCACACTTTCTGTGTCTATCTATTTAGTGACCATAGAATAACCATCTTTCCATCAGAAGAGGGGTAGTGATGAGGTCCATATGTTACCCTTGGTTTTGATGGTTTTGCCGGTCATGATCTTTTTTACTGCAGTAACTTTGGAAATGCTTATGTGTCTGCTGTCCTCAGTGCAGAAGAAAACTGAAGCTGGGGATAACGGAGGCAGGTAGCCTCCTCTCTGCTTCGCCTCTACTCTGCTCTTAGCACCTTCTGCTGGGCATCCTTCTTACTGCTTCTCTCTTGCTCTCCTTTATTCAGGGATATTTTTGCTTTGCTTGCATGAAAGCAGAGCTGTTTCTGGACTTTTGCTCTTGAACCCAGTATGCACCCATTTTGCCCTTCACACCTCCTTTCTTGTAGAGCCTTTGAAGCACTGTATTTTGAGAAAAATTCCTATGTAAATACTGTAACTTTTATAATTGGTTAAGCTCTGTAGCATTTTCTCCAGTGCTTCTCCCTTCTCAATAAATATATTCCTTCTATTAAGTTACCTCCCAAACTTCTAGGTCATTGGTTACTTAGAAGAGCGTGCATTAGCTGGAGAACTGCTTTCCTTGGTGAATAATTTTGATAAGTCCTGAGTGCAGCTCAGGTTCTCTGTTTATTGAGCCCTTATCTTTTTAGCTTGTGTTCATAAAGGCATTCCAGAAAATGTAGAGATTACAGGAAATTAGGGATCCTAAATTCAAGGGATGTTAATTGCCCCATGGTTAGGCATTATGACATCACAGAAGGTCAGTAGCAATAGCTGCCCTCAGGCATGTAGCCTGGCCTGCAGGTTAGCCTTGCCAGGTTTCTGGGCACCTTGTTTGCCTTAAGCCTGTGAAATCAAATTTGGTTTCAACATTTTGGAAGGCGTATGTTGAGGCATGTGTAGGTCAAGCTTATTGTAAACTTGGGAGACTATTTACAGGGTACCCAAGAGTATGGGGATGGTTCCAGATGTATTTCTAGAGTTTGAATCTATGTAGGTAGAAGAGTCTAGGATCTAGTTTGGTGTAGTAGATAATTCTTATAGTTGACTGAATACCTAAAACCTGGGTGGTGGTCCTGCAGCCTGGGCTGAGCTATCTAGGCTGAAACCTGGTTCTGTACCATGTTGAGGCTTTCTGGGAAGGCAGCCCCTTTAGGCAGGAGTAAAATGCAAAGTTGTTTTCTGAGGACCTGGTTTGGGGGGATTGTTTTGGGCAGAAGACTGTATTTATGCTGGGTGAATCCCGGAAATGCACTAGAAAAACATAATGTCCCTAAATTCTTCACGGTATGTTTGCAAACCAACAACAGATTGTTTTGACTGTGATAAGTTTGAATCTCTTTGCTAAACATGGTACAAGCTCTAGATTTCTTCTCCCTCTTCAGCCAGTACAGAAGATAAGTGGTGGCAAAGATTGTGGAAGCTTCATCTGACCAGTGTGGGTGCTGGTTTCTTGTTCAGTCTCTAAACTTCCTTTTCTTCTCAGGCAACCACCCACCCAGATTTCTTTTGTCATTCCCAACATGGGGTTGCCAGTAAAGCCAATATGAAAACTACCTAGAAATAGTAATGACTTCTTCAAATGCAGGGGTCTTTCTCCTCCCAATCTCTCCTCTCTCCTTCCCTTACAAATCCTCTCCATCCCCCTGATGGTCTCTGCTGTCCCTTCTAGTGTAGTAATGATGACTCCAACCCCTTGAATGTGAATTGCTCTCCTTATTGCCCGTGTTAAAGAGCAGCTAGTATGTTGTCAGGAAGCACTATTTAATTTGTGAATTATTATGGAACAAATAAATACCATGGATGGGAACTACTTGTGTGCCATTCTCCTTCTTAGCCATCAAGGATGGTTTGTTTTCCCTAAAGGATAGATGAGAAGGTGGGGATCCAGAGAGGAGTGTATGCCACAGCTTGTTCACTGGGGAAATCTCCTGTGGGGTTCCCCACTGGGGCACCACAGTCCTGTCTGAATAGCCTCTATGGGTCATTCCTGGAAGCGGGCCTGGCCCTGCATGTGGTCAGAGCCTTCTCTTCCATGCTCATCTCCTAATGGCTTCTAGGATAATATTTAATTAAACTTTCATTGAATGTCCACTGTGCGGATGCAGAACCTGTAATAGGCAATGTGAGGGACATCTGCATATCAGAGCTCCTAGGAGCGCCTTTGTCTTCCCTTCTGTGACTTTAGGAAATCCAAGTGCACCATGGAAAATTGAGCCACAGTCATTGGCTGCTGATTTTCCCACCTCCATTTCTACAAATCCCAGACAGATGACCAGGTTATAAGCCCCTAACGGGCAGAACTGCATTTTACTCCTCTCTATTTCCAGTGCTTAGCCCCAGAATTCAGCACATAAAAAGCAATCAGTAAAGGAGAAAAGGGAATTCTGAACATGTGAGATATGGGAGACGGTGAAAGGAGACAGAGTTGTGAAGGGAAAGGGAGCTGTGGCATCCAGGCAACCCCCCTGGGACTTGGACTTTAACATACCCTTTTTCTTAACCTCTAAAAACCATGCTCAAGAAACAGACTTTGGCTTAAGCACGTGTTGATAACATGTAAGGTTGGGCTCAGCCTTGCTCTCCAAACCCACTTACTCCTAACACTGTTCTACAGATGACGCAGGCAGCTCTTCCTTTAGCCCCTGGCTGGTGCCTTGTTGGAATCCCTTGTTGTCTAGCTCTGCGTAGAAGTCAGCTCCTTCAGAGACAGAGCGGATGGGCTGCGGCACTGGTGGTAGCTGGTCAAAGGACCCCCCGGGTGGGCTGCACCTGACAGCTGTTGAAGGAAACACTGGTGGTAACGGGGCAGGCAGCTCGGGCTTCCTTTGAAGCTCCTACTGTGCCTGCACTTGAATTCCAGCACCAGCTTGGTGGATGTGTTGAAGGTGGTGACCGCTGATGCCATGCAGCACGTGAAGGAAACCCCAGCCGTGCTAGGGACAGACATACAAAAAAAAATTAGAATCTTCCTCACAGGTTTGAAAGAAAGATGCAGTGATCCCTTCCTTCCTACTAGTAAACTAGGCTGAATCCTCTTTGGGATTTAGGGGCTGTGTGATCTTGCACTGTGTTTCAGGGAAAGAACTGTGGGCAAGAGGACTTAATTTGGTCCTTCTTAGTGGGGTACATTCTGGATGTTTCATAGTAAAAGAATGACACATATAGTATTAAAGGCAGATTAGGAGTTTAGTGGATTCGCTTCCACTGAATTGACTGCTTGTTACTGCTGTGCTCNCTTCTTAGTGGGGTACATTCTGGATGTTTCATAGTAAAAGAATGACACATGTAGTATTGAAGGCAGATTAGGAGTTTAGCGGATTCGTTTCCACTGAATTGACTGCTTATTACTGCTGTGCTCTTTTATACTTGGTGTGCCTAGTTTTTATATATAAACACACACAACTTTTTTGACTACTGTTTCTCAAGCTGCAGTTACCCTGTATAATCTCCAGGATTCCGTAGACTACAGTTTGGTTGTATATAGTGGACATAGCCCAATGTTATAACTCCCTGCCCCCTCCCACACACTGCCAAAGATTTTCCTTCCTTCAGATGCTGGAGTGATCATCCCTCCTCCATCTTCCCTTGTTTGAGCTTAGCGGTTTTAAGGGCCCACAAATTCAGGTCTCTGAAGGCCGTTCAGGAAGCACTTGGTATCACAGGTTGCACTAGTGGAATTTGCCTATTATGAAAACCACGTGGTTCTCAGCTTAAGTGAGTTTATAATGGATGGAAGAGAAGCTAGAGATGAAGAGAAGCTGAATGGGTTCAACAAAGAAGAAAAGACACCAGGAAACTTTATCAAAAACAGTCCTAAAAACTTGGGACCCCTAAATCTCTCCGTAATTCTGGGTAGCCCAGGAAACAGGAAGTTGTGTGAGGTTAGTGAGGGACTTCATGAGGCCAAGTGATGGTTAAAGCCAGGCCACATGCTGGTACTATGTGTTCCTGTCTGCTGCTGAAGGAATAGCTTGAAGACAAGTAAAAGGTGAGAAATGATCAGTCTGGGAAATGAGCTAAACTGATATGGTGGTTGGAGGAGTGGACCAAAGACCCAGCCTGAATCAAATAGCACATATTATACCATGAGAGAGGGACAGGATCCTGTAAGAAAGGTGGAGCTTTCCATATCACCTACTTCAGCATGGAAAGGAGTCACTGCTGCATTTTTTCAGCACTGTTCAAGTACTTGGCACTTATCCAGAGAGCTCATGTAAGTTCCGGTTGCCCCTATGCACTGAAGAGAGCGTGTGCCTCGGGAGAAAGTGAGGGGCTCCTAAACAAAGGGCATGTTTACCTGGACCATATTTGTTTTGTCATGGCTGCTGCTTCTCTTTGTTAAATAGAAATCTCAGATCACTGACTCCTTAGTTTTTTAAGGGTTGGAGAATTACCTTAGGGGAAGTTTTATTTCAAACACAGTTGGTGGAATAAGAATGGATGTAGGAGAAGAGTAAGCCAGTCACAGAGAGTAGAAGTCAATCCAAATTTCAAGGCTAATGCCCTATTTCTCTGTCCTCCCATATCCTGAATCATAAAATATAAAATATAGAGCATCATTCCCACAAGCCATACAAAATCAATCTCATTTCCCAAGGGCAACATACTTATCAGGCAAAGAAGCAATTGCTACAGTTGTACCAGCAGAAAAATTGCACAAGACAACAGCCTCTTCACAAAACAAGCTAGAGGAACCCTCTCTACCTGTTCAGAAGGTGGGGGAAGGAGGGGTGTAGCCTGATGGTCCAAACCCCCGTTTGACTGACAGGCTTCTGGGATGAGGCATGAAGGGAAGGCAGAAGAACACGAATCTAATGAAGGCTGCCTGGGGGAGGTGCCAGGGTTCAGGAGATGATGGTGAGCACTTACGAGAAGGCCCAGCCGTAAATCCAAGCGTGTGGCCTCCAGTCTTCTGGACCCAAGTTGGCAGTTTCCTGGAAGACTTGTGAATGCATCATATGCGCCACCATCCCCAGAAGGCCTACGGAGGAAACAGGGTGGCAGCACCTTTAGAGAAAGGCTGACATTGCCATCTACAAGAAAACCTGACTTCAGAGCAGCCTTCTCACTGTGTATCAGGTACCGCCAGGTTTCCAGGAAACTCATCTGTCGGGGACTTCCTGAATGCATATACGCCAAGGCTGTGCCAGACTTCAGGCTGACAGCTCTGGGGAACGCTGGCGTCAATGCTGCACTCAGGGCCGCGGGCCCTTTCCCTTCTCCCCACCCCTACCCCCGTGTGGGCTTAATTCTTCATCTTAAGTGTGCATCTCTTACTTCAGCCAACAGTCTCGAAAAGCTGTGTGCATGTCATAATTGAAAAGTAAACCAAACTTATTTATATATTGGGAAATTTGCAAAGAAAATGAAGCTAGAGATAAGCCTTTATGTACAAAGTACATAAAGATCTAATATAACATTTCACATGTTACCTCGATTTAAAATGAAAGATGCCTGCGATGTATCTCATACCTCCATTCTTCATGCTGCCTTTGGGTTCCTCCCCTCAGGACCGTCTCCAGCCTGCCAGCTGGTGTTTCAGAGGCGGCAGAGGACACCCACCCTCTCTAGCTTTGAGGGCACTCACCTGATAGGACAGAGGCAATAGCGGCGAAAGCGCTCAGCCTGAGCCCACAGCCAGGGTTCACGGTGAACAGCAGGTCCGTTAGTAGCAGGAGGAGACTGATGAGTTCAAGTCGTACGTAGGCAAAGTGGGCTCCCATTGATAACCATAGGATCTCTGTCAGAAAGCGGAGGAAGCAGCACCCCCACCCTGCCAGTTAGATAACTGACGGCGAACAATTAGATGAGAAATTAGATTATCCCTATTTGGAGAGAAAACCCTCGCAGCATCAGAGAAGGGGAGGGTGAGACAAAGCTGAAACCAGCTGGGAACATTCCTTAATTTGGGGTTCTTTGCTGTCACCCCACAGCTCTCACTCTGCTCAGTGCCCAATATATAATCAAGTAAATTTGATTGACTAAGTACTTTTAGAGAGATTTGAGAAGTCATCCAAATCTTGCAGGGATATGGCTTTGCTATTTATCATTTTTGTTTCTCTTTTTTCTTACCTAATTTTGGGCAATCAGTTTTGTTTTCTCCCTCCCTGCCTCCTTCCCCCCTTCCTTCTATTTTCCAAAAATAAAATAAAAATTCTTTTTGGAGAAAAAACAAGCTTTTCAGCTTGGTTCCTTGGCAACAAGAGTAGGTTAGAGCTATGGTGGTTTTCGCTCTATGAACTTTATTTGTCCCTGCTGTTTTTCTTTTTTTTTCTGGCATTCCTGCATATGAATGAAAGTCAGCCTCTAGAAGAAATTTGTGTCACCCTGTGGGGCTGGGAAGAAGAGAAAAGCTGGAGATCACAGTATGATTTTGATCCAGAAAAGCCCCAAAACTCAATGGCAACTGAATTTGTTACCAAACCCACGTACTTGCCACAAGCCCCAAGGGAGGGTGGGGGAGGAAAGCCTTCTCCATTAACCGCTTCCCTCCAAATCGGAGAGTGGGGTGACGTGGGCCTTGCAACGTGGCAAATTCCAGTAGTCCTTTCTCACCTCTCTTGGTTGGTGGTGCGAGTTCAAAGAAACTTCGGCATTTCTCCCCTAAAATAGACAAGGGTGAGCTTCTTAAGAGGTACTTCCTTGAACAATTGGGAGGAAATCTTTCCCCAGTCCCATACCCTGCACCACTCCATTTGTTGTGATGCAGTGCCTGTCCAGCACATAGTAGGCAGGCAGTAAATGTCTCTTTGAAAGCAATTAAGAATGCGTGGATGAATGAATGGCGTACACAAGAGTCATGCAAAATTAATTTCTCAATTTCTGATAATGGAGATGACGTTTACCAGAGGAGGGAGAAATGTTCCCGTTCCTGTGTTGGGAAGAGTTAATGACCCTACGGTGAACCAATGCCATTTGCTGCCACTGTAGCACTGGTCTGAACGGCTCTAAATTGTTTAGGGACTGAGGTTGGAGCTGTGTTAAGTGGCACAGTAATAACTTCAATATAAATGTAAATACACATTTATATTCCTCTTCCTGCTCTTCCCTTAGCCCAAACCAGGAGGCGCAGCAGCAGTCTGCAAATTGTCTGTGATTTTGGGCTTTAGAAAAACATTGCTATCAGGTGACCTTTGAATGCTTTGAGCAGGATGGGGGGAGGGTGACCTCAGTCCAGTTGCTCCTAAGCTGAGGACCACAGGTGACTGGTGCATGCGGACACCAGAGCCCTGGAGGGTCTGTCTGCAGCTTCTCCAGGGCATCCTTACAGGGTCTTAGTTACCCTCTCTGAGCTTCAGTTCCTTTACTTTAAAAATTATAACAGTGATACTTAGAATGAGAAAACCCTTTATGGGGGTGGAGAAGAAGGGGCTTTAACGGTGATCTACTCTGACCCATCTCACTGATGAGAAAATCGAGGCTTGCAGAAATGACGTTATTCATATAACATCACAACTGGGCAGGGCAGGGCTGTTCCTTTAATAGTCATCACTCCTTGTTTTGTCTCTAAACAGCAATTCTAGTTTGCTAGGATGGAAATTCTTATAATGTTGAATGTCTAAATGGAACTCTTTAAGATGAGTGCTATTTTAAACCAGCGAGTCTACTAGATAGGCAGGGGGGTGAAAAGCCAGATGGACTTTCAACCTTATTAAAAGTGGTTCGTAAGGAGAAGAGACACAATAGAGAGGTGGGGATGCTGAGCTTGAGGGTGAGGCCGGCGGGGTGGGGTGGGGGTTATATACTTCCCACTGGTTCTTTGTCTGCATACGATCCCATGGGAGGAAAATTCAGGCAGCCGTGGGGCGAGGGGGCTACCTGGTTCTTCCACAATTTCCTCACAGGATAGCCACAGGCCACTCTGGAAGGTATGGAAGGAGAAGCGGCCATGCCCAGCCTCCCAGCTGTACTGCACCACCTCCTGGGATGATGTGTTGCCGCTGCCCCCATCCAAGGGCACTGGCAGGCCAAAGCACTTGGCTGCCAGACCTTTTCCGCACAGGGGCTTGGGCACCTTCTGTGTGCCCACAAACCACTGGTTGCTGAGCAGGGATGTTGTGGAGAGGCTGAGTGATAGCAGGTTGAGGAGGGCAGATAGGAATGTCCATTGGCCAGAGAAGCCCTTCGGGAGCTCCATCTGTAACAGACAAACAAGGGAAGAGCCTGATTTCAGAGCCTCCTGGGAGACCTGGACACCCTTCCCTGCGGCTCCCCCTAAGCTCAGGGCCCTTTCCTCCAACCTGTTGGGTATGACCAGCCACTGGGAGTTTCCTCCAAGAAGCCCTGTGGAAGGTCAGCTTCAGGAGTGGCCCAGGTAGGCTCCATAGCGATGATTTTATTTAAGCTGGACCTCGTTATACTAAAATGCTTACTGACGATGATCGGAGGAAGTATCAGATGATAACCTGTCGGAATGTGATGAAGCCACTGAGGCTCGTACGAGTATCAGGTTGAGAAAGAGATTGGGGGCCCTTTAACTGCTCTCGCTGACCATCATTTTTGGTTTTGTCTGCACTGAAAGGTCGTGGCACTGACTTGCCGAGGTATTTGTCATGGTAACTGAGTTTTCAGTGTTCTCTTCCCTGCATCATCGATTCCTCTGAGAGGAGTGAAGGGGGATATGTCCTATCAACCAGTGTTACACTGGATCGCCAGGTGGGGTGCAGTAGAGGCTTGGGGGCCTTGGGGATAAAAGGAAACAGTGGACTGACGGGGATGTGCGGCTCGTGAAGCCCCTGGAGAGCAGAGGGAGCTGTGGGCTCTGAGAGAGGTGGTTATCTGGGTCCAGCTTTCACCCACTGCCACCGAGACGCACGAATCAAATGGGAGATGGCTGCATGGTGCCCACGGAGGCTGGACACCAAGTGTGGCCATGGAGCCACTGAAAGGGTGACCTTGGCTGGTGGAGGGGAACCTGGAGGGGCAGTGCCTGGCTCGCAGTAGGGACACAGTGTGTGGCAGCAGAAAGACCTGTGGCCTGTGTGGCTCTGGATGGAACCCCTGGCCTCGTTAGTTTTAGTCTAAGAGAAGAGAAGGGCTAGTTGAAGAATGGCCAATATCAGATGTTTCAACTTTGGGGAGTGGTGGCTTGGAGCCAGGTTTAAACCTGACAGATCTTGCACTTTGTGTTATGGAGTGGTTTATACTGTTGTGTTAACACATGCTGAATGGGAAGGAAGCCTGTGCTTAGTTGCTGACATGCTTCCTAAAGTAAACCATCTTGAGCTTTCCAGGGGATCGCTCACAGCAGGATTAATCAGACCCATATCTGCTTAGTTTAAAAGACGTAAATAAAACCATAGCTAAATGGGAAAGGCCCATTAATCTGCCTCTCTCATCACCTCCAGCTTAACATTTTCTACATTTAACAGAGAACTTTATCTCACAAATGTAACAGTTTGTTCTTTAGATTTTCCAGGGACTAAAACAGTGCAGGCTACAAAGTACAGATTATTTTATGGCAATAAGAAATATACCAGATTCATATGTATATAAAAACCAATATACAAAACATAAAAGTTTCTGGAAAGCAATCTGCTAATTTGGTCTTTCTTTTCTAAGCACTCAAAACAAATTAGATCCACCAAGAACTGTCAGACTGTGCGAGACTCTCGGTGACCTTGGTCAGGACTGAAAAACCACAGCACCTGGAAGGGAGAAAGATCTTACATTGCCAGATATGGGAGTCATATGTTGGCCTGTCTAAAAAATGAATGTTTTTATCTTGTTGTTAGTTATGAAAACAGTATTGGTTTTAGTTATTATTCTGTTACTATGAGTTACCCTTTCTAATTATCTTCATATCCGTTGCCTGAATAGGGAATAAACTTTCAGATAAAACATCTTCATTAATCATTTGTTAAAAATATGTTTCTTTTTTATTTATTTATTTATTTCAGAGAGGGAGAAGGAGAGAGAGATAGAAACATCAATGATGAGAGAGATTTTGTCTAAAGGTTGAACTAAGGATTTAGGCAATTCTCCATTTTCAGTGACTTTATTTCAATCTTCTGTGGCTTGGAAATTTGTTTATGATCATCACATCACATCAGTTCAAACTCTACCCTCAACCCATTTCAAGTTACACACATCTGCAAGTTCTGCAGGTTATTCAGAAATTAGGATAATGAACCCCACACCATGGACAACCACTTTGTGGCACCAAGATGACAACAAATTTAAGGAATAAATGACTTGAGAAACAAAGGATGAATAGAGCTTGGAATGAAGCCCAAAGAGGCTCCTTCTATCCAGCAGGAGCATCCACCAAGGATAGACACACGGAGCCTCATTCAAGAATTATCTTGGTAATTGAATGGGAATCCACTCAAGAGCCTTTTCAAGAATTAACTTCAATACCTAGAGTACTGTGTTCATTATCAAATACAGTATATCATTTCTCCCCCCAAATGTGCCTCCCCCTTCCCCCCAGGGTCCACATACCTCTTGAATTGGAAGAACAAATCTAACTTTGCAGTGGTTTCCTTAAGGTGGTCTTGAAGTAGCAGCAGCCAAAAGGAAAGTTATCTTTGCATATGCTAACAAGCCTCATGCCAAGGACATTCTATGCTCTAGAAAAGGGACAAGGAGTGGCTTCCGACACTTGCATTCAGGTCATTAGAAAGTGCATAGGTGCCAAATGTCACTAATTCTTCCAACAACATAGGTTAACAGAAAACCTCGGAATTAGCATAGGCTTAACATAAGACAACAAATAGATGAGACAGGCACACCTCTTAAAAGAATCAGGTACAAAATAACTATGCAGTGTACGTTCTGAGCAGTAAGTAGGGGAAGCTGGTTACCTTGGCCATGGTCAGAGTCTTGCGGCTTGTCTGAAAGAAACTCAGGATGCCATCTGGGCTCCAAATCTCTGGTTTAATGTTGAAAAATTGAAAACTAGCCTTCCCCACCCTCTCCCCCCACCCCTTGCTATTCCCTCCACTCTCAGCACCTCATGATTAAATGCTGCCTTGCAGGGAACGTGGGCATTTAATAATTGACAATACAATCATGGCCCAGCTGTTCTGGGAGATTACACAGGAGAGCTTGTCAATGGGGATCTGGGATTAATCACAGAAAAGCAAGGACCTGCATTCACAGAGGGAAGTTTCTTTAAGAAGTGAATGATGATTTAGTTTCCATCTCACTGCCATTCCCTAGGTAACTGGTGTGAATAGATTGGGCTTCATTTTCTGGCAGACGCACAAATATTACAGGGTCACCATTAATACAAAGATTCTCATTCCCTCGTGTAGGGCTTTCCATCCCTTTAATAAGCCTAATATCTGCAATGTCAGGGCTTCATACAGCCCATGGATATGAAATAGCGCCATTGTGTCTTGGGTGGTCTCCACCCTCCAGTTAGCATCATTACTGAGGATTATTAATGCCACCCCTTCACATGGAATGCATGCTGAGACAGTCAGTGCTGGGTGGGGGTGAGGATTCAGATGGGGTAGCACAGGCGAGAAAGAAATTCCAGGGTCAGCAGGGCTTTGGCTCTCTACCATTTCTCTCCTGATCTTCAGGCAAAGGAATGACAATTTTTTTTTTTTAAAAGGGTTTCTAAAACTTGAAAAAATAATCTGACAAATGAATAAGGGGTTGATTGCATATATTCCTGCTGCTGGTCACCTAGAAGCAAAAGTTGTTCTTTCTGTTCTCAAGAATGGTACTAATTAATTGGGATGATTAGGGTGGGAGACATTCTGCAACTGCTTGTGACTTTCTAAACACCCCGTGGGCATTTGTCCTCCAAGCCTTTGCAGATGCTCTTCCACCAGGAACGTATTATCTTTTCACCTGGTAACCTGCCTCTCATCAAGATCAGTGTCAAAGCCGCTCATTCTTCAAAAATGGTTCTTTTCTCCCTAAGAGCAGTTCCCTCCTCTGACCTTGTTCCCCTGCACCTCTCTCATAACACTTCCTATATTCCGTGATAATCATTTGTCTTGGCTGTAAAGTCCTCAAAGGCCTCTCCTCTATCGAAGAGCAGTAGTTCTTCCTTCTGACCAAGCATTGGAACCATCTTTGAAAGTGTGGAAAAGATGCATGCTCCTGGGCCTCATCCTGAGGTTCCATGGTAGTTTTGGGGTGAGGCCCAGGAATCTGTAATTTTAGGACATGCTTAGTATATACCCAGGATGGATTTCTGGTTTCTGGTTCCACGTGTAAGGAACTTGGAAGTCATCACTCTGACCTAACAACCAGTAAGACACTGAAGAAACTGAAAAATATATAGCCAGGGAGTGAATGTACCTTAAAATGACACCCGTTTGACTAATTTTAAGCTTACATTTAATGAAACCCTCTATTTCCTGCCCTGCCCTTCCCCCACCTCTTCCAGATTCATCCTTAGTCAAGTCAAGGTTTTTCCCAATTTGTATTTGTGCCATTAGTTTAGGGAATCAAAGGCAAGCTCTCCTCAGTGTTTGAATTAGTCTACGTTTAGCCAGAGGAGCCCCTCTAGATCTCACGTCTGTCACCCAATACATTCTCTAGTCTTCTCAGAATGATGTGAACAGCATATCTTGACGCACATATGCTTGTGGCCAGGCAGGATTCCCGTGTCACCCAATTGACCCTTTATTCATTGTGACAGAACGCCCTGTGCGCTGGGAGGAGGGAGCCAGAGTTCATGACAGAATCGGCTGCTGGTTTCCTGGCTACAGTCTTCATCACAACGCTGGGTGGCACCATCTCCTTGGATTTTTCCTCTTCAGTCACGTGTTCCCCCACCCCTCAGCAAATGTGGGTGGAGGCGGTGGCTCCTCCCTTCGCGATTGTTCCCTTTCCCCTCCTCTGGCCTCCTCCCCACACGCTAATCTATAGAACACGTGTGTCAGCCTTATGGAATCTGGGGCTCAGAATGAACCCAGGATTGTTTCCTGTGGCACATTTTTGTGGCCAATGTCAGCTTTTAGTGATTCAGTTGATCCTTAAGTACTTCCCAGGGGAAATGCAACAAACACCATAGTATCAGAAAATACAGTTAGTGATGCTTCCTGATGAATTCTGTGTGCATTCTTACTTACTTAATCGCACTCTCATTCCCTGTGCACCCCAGGACAGTGAACAATCCTTCCCGCCCCCCCCCTGCTGACACCCTTCAAATACTTGCAGACACTCTCATATCCCGCTTGAGTCACCGTTTGGCACAGTCTTATGTCTTTGGTTTTTATTGCCTCTGCTCATAAACCGCACCCCTTGTGTCTTAATAGACTGACATTTGCCTTCTCCAGGGAAAAGCGGATGGGAGTGGCAGATTCTTACATGAGGAGGCCTAGAGGTGGCTTTAGAATAAAACGAATGAAACTTCAGCTTCATTGTTCCCCCACTTACGCAGGCCCCTTCCAAGACCCCGCTACCTAACTTGTATTGTCATTTTGTATTATTTTTCTTAAAGAGGGCCTTTGAAATTATATTATTTTAGGACCCCCCAAAGCCTGAATCTACCCCTTAGGAGGCTGTGCATTTTGTGTGTGTGCTTGGCTGGCTGGCTACTAATTGTGACCAATCTTGGGGACCCCCCCCCCCAAGGATCTTGGGCCACAACATCTAATTTCCTCTTCTGACAAAACATGAGTTTCTCTGCCTGGCCACAAAAATCAGAGCCTAGCATCCCACTCACTTCCTTTCATTGTAATTTAGGCGTGTTAATATTTTTTCTTCTCTTTCCTCCCTTAGAACAGAAGAAGTAATTGCTAGTCAATGCAACATAAATATAATTAGGTTCAGCTCAGAAGCTCATGATTCAGCACAGACACAAAGATTCCACATCTCAAAATAGTATTTAACTTCTGTATGTGGGACTGTTACCATCTCAGGATGATCCCCACAGGGATAGATATGCAGCTCAGCACTGATGACATCACAAAGCCAAGGGTTGGGAACAACCTATGTTTGCTAAGTTTCTCTCAGTCACTGTTCCCCACACTGTGCAAAACCATACTTCATAGGCATCTATAAAGAGAAACAATGGTCTCGGGACACCCACACATACTTTGTAAACAGGAATTCAATTTATTGTTTGTGAGTACACTGTAGATAAGCAGTGATTAAAACAATGGGTTAGAATGCTGAGCCAGAGAAGATTGTATAGCACACTGCTTCCCTAATGTGAAAGCCTGGAGCCTAAAGGACCCAGCGGGAGCGTTTTTCACATATCCATATTGGCATCTTCTCCCAAGAAAGCTTCTCTTGCCCTCCCAAGCAGTAGCTGTCTATTCTTCTCCCAGGAGTCAGATTTCTGACCCATGCCCATTAACTAACTCCTTGTTACTCAGTAGATAAAAGGCTGGAGAGGACTGGAAGTGCGTGGGCTCTCACTGGCTCTCATCTACATGCCCCTTGTTCTCTGTTCCTGCATGTTCTGCTGTGTGTCTCATGTAACTCATCGCATGGTTTGCTTGTCTGTTACGCTCACTTGACTCTAAGTAGCTAGACACAGTAGCAGCTAGGCTTTATTCATTGTTGACCCTCAGAGCCTAGCCCTAACATCCAAGAATGAATAAAGTTTGTCGTGGAAACGAGGCTCATGAATACAGTTCGGGAACCTATTAGATGAAGATGAGACGTGAACAAAGTAAAGTGTCCCAACAGCCTCCTGCTGCTAAAGGCGAGAGGCGTCCTCCTGATTCATGTACATAGCAGCGAGAGGCGAAAAAAGAGCGTCCACAGATCCACAGACACACCCTCTGCATTCTACACAGATGCGCCCATAGTGTCACCAAACAGATCCTCGGCCAGCACATTTCCTCCCACCTGTGGAAACATTCCTGCTTTTTGATGACCAAGGCCCAGATAACAGCGATGATGTCATGAATGAGTATTATCTTTAGTTCACAGGGACCAGGGTACAAACACATTGCTCAAAAGCCAGGGACGGTTTGGAAATGTTTTGTCTTTTCCCAAGCTCGGTGATTCCCCACGGATTAGAGCCCTTATGGGTGATGTATCCTGAACGGCTGGAGCTTTTGCAGTTATAACTTTTTTTTTTTACTTCCATGCCTAATATTTGACTATTTGCTGATGAAGATAACAGAAGGGCTTCCCACAAGACATTTTGACACTGGAAAGGAAGAGTAATGCCACCAACATGCCCATGCTGAGTACCCAAAACACGTCACTATGGGCCACTTCACGTTAAGCTCAACAGTAACCATGTTCAACGTCCACGTGGCCTCAAACGCCCACAGAGTAAGAACGGACTCCGTTCTTCCTAACAAGGGTCCCAAGCTCTGGGAACACGGCTACTTATGTTTCGTGGGAAGGACCAAAGAAAAGCATCTGGGGCCTCTCGCCTTTCCCTTTCCGCCTTTTAATGTAATTGTCGGAGGGCTTTAGCTCTAGCAGTCATTTCCAGGAGAGGAAGCGCCTTGTTCAATGTCCCGAGCATCTGGAGTGAATCAGAGGGTCAGCCACATGGGCACATCCTGTGGG